AATGAGAGCCTCTGTGGAGGGAGGCTCCACGGAGCGTGCTGACTCCCCAGAGCGACTTCTCCCTTGGTCACGTTTGCCCTCATTCCCAATGCCACATCAGGCGCCCCAGGGCCGGGCATGTGCCCCTCCCCTTCAGGAGTGTTTGCCCTTCATTTACATAGCCTCTGCAGGGTTCTGCCCACGGCCATTCTGGTGCCCAGGGTCCAGGTGCTCATCCCCGTATCCTTCTCTCTTGTCTGACCAGCCTGGTCTCCTCCCTTCGATGGGAGCGGGGGCGTCATCACTCACCGGTCTGTTCACACACTCAGCCAACGATGGACAGATGGGTGGTTCAAGTCCACTCAGAAGCCCCTCACAAGCAGGGCCTGGTGGTCTCCTTCCAACCTGTCAGCCACGGGGACAGTGCCCACCCCACCCCCACCAAGCACATGGGTCTCACCAAGAGTCAGAGGGGAACCAGCAGAAACTGGTTTGGGTTTGTTAGTCTCGGCGAGCTGTTAGGTATAAAGCCTATTACTCCACTTGACTGGCTGATGTCATGAGTTACAGGTGCAGGTGTACAAAGGTTGAAGCTTATCCACAGACCTAGAGCTACTACCGGGCAGGACTGGGATGGAACCTTCTAAAGCCATCTGTTCTAGTTGCCCACCAACTTCTTGATGACCATCCGACTCGACGGTAGGGACCCATCCAACTCTCTCCGTGTTTGGAATCTGCGGGCACATGATCAGGCCTGAATACCCAGAGCCCTCATCCTCCTTGAAGGTAAGATTTGTTCAGGAATGGGCATGTGACCCAGCCAGGCCAATGAGTCTGTCCCCAGCCTTTTGCTGGAACATACCACGTCACTCTTGCCACCACCTGAGAAGAACCTATTAGCGAATGCCGCCAACCCAGAGAGGAGGGCCACGACCCACAGACACTGCCCCCACCCCCCACCCCGCAGCCTGGCCTGAGCTTTGAACCTTTGTTTCAGCTGTACCAGAGGCTAGGTTATCTGTGGACATCATTGTGACTTTCTTATCTCTTTCACTCCCCACCCCCACCAGCTTATTTAACTTTTGGTTGTGAACATGGTGATGGTTCAGAGAGCAGGCCGCAGTTTTACACTCAGTAATCCATACCCATCTTGTTTCAGCTGCTCCACTGCAGACCCCTCAGTGCCCCATCCAGTAGCCCACTTCCTCTCCATGCTTCCTGTTTCTTTTCCTCCTTCCTTCCCAGCTGTGTGACTCCACGGACTAGAGAAACATTCAGACTCACATGGGTCTGAGAAAGAGGCTTATACCAAAGAGCAATTGTATATTGAGAAAACATCCCAGCCCAGGCCAGATCAAGTCCCTAAGTCCAATATTAGCCCATATGTCTGATACCAATTGAGTTAGTTAATTGTGCCAGCCTGGCCGATAATCATATGTGGGGCTAATTGAAAGGCGGAGGGATAAATGGGTGGTGAGCCTC